GTGCCTCTCCCCGAGGCGGTGGATGTTGAGGAGCTCCAAACCACAGCTGGTGGCAGTGATGCCTTTGTCTCTAAGGCTGCTCAGACCCAGGTTCAGGCAGTCTGTAACTGGTCTGTAGCTCAGTCACAGGTGCCTGCACAGACCTGGGGCCCAGATGGGAACATCTGTAGCACAAGCAGTGCTTACAGCTACTCTTCTCTGTAAGGTGCTTACTTTGCTTGTCACTTTAGAGAGCTGCCAAACTACAGTCCAGGAATGTGGGTATCCTTCTCTCCTCTCCCCTTTACCCACCTATTTTGATGGCCTGGAAAAAGCAGCAGTAAGAGTCTCTCCAGATGAGTTCCTTTCTTCCTTTTCTCCCTTTTCCTGCTGGTGCCCAGGCACCACCTGCAGAGCCTTTCACAGCACATCTCATGGGCATCACAGCCATTGTTTGCTCTGTAGCAAAATGTCTCTGTGTCTGGGCTTTATTCTCTCTGCTGTGTTATCCATGCTGCCAGATGATACCACAAACTAGCAGGAGTCTGTCCTTCTAGGGGGGACATTCACAAGTGCTTATCAGCTGCCCCTTGCTTTGTCTCATAGGAAAAATATCTCTGGTTTGAGGGGTGAAGTTCTGCTCCCACATTATGCACTAGTAAAACTTCTGTTGCCTGGGGGAAATGGAAGGGGGAGAAAATAGGTGTTTCTACAGCCTGGAATAAGCCTTACCTGCAAATGAAACAATTCTTGACTGCACCTCTGTTGTTCTGCATGGGTAGCACAATGCTCATGGGCCGTCTGATCAAGGGCCTGAGCTCTGTTTATTTGAGGGGAGGGGATTGGCTCCCTGTGCCATTTTTCCCCTGTTTGGGTCCATATCAAAGCAGTCATGAGAGTTCACATGGATTGTTTCAGGTGCTGGCCCAGAGAGTGTCCTAGTGGTGGAGATCATCTCCCTGGGAGTGGCAGGAGAGCAGGGAGCCAGGAGAGTACTGACATGGTCAACAAGTAATGAGGACATGCCTTTCCTCACTATTGCCAAGCCTTTCTCATTACAGATGCCTTTAAAACAGAGGTGACTAGGAATGACAGTTCCCCTGAAGTGTTATGGAAACTTTGAAAATCGTAGTAGAAAATGTCAATTGCAAAACTCCAGATTATTTTGCCTGTAATTTACCAGAGCACAATATGCACCAATTGATGTTTATTTTGGGTTACTCAGCTGGAAACTATTTCATGTCCATCAGTTTCTCCCCAGTAAAGTTCTGTGCCTGCCAGTGTGTGCTCCGGGGTGAAACAGCAAGATACAAGTTCCAGAGCCACCAGTTTCTTCATCAGCCTGACCCTGGCCCACGTCTTTGCTCTGCCCAGGAGTGGGAGGGAGCTAACAGAGTAATCCAGACACTCTTCTTTGGTCCTGTATCCATAGGTGAATGTAGTTTACGTGAACTGGTTGAAAACAGCTCTGAGGTTGAGCTTATGACTTGTTCTTTTAAACTGTTGTTCACCTTTCTGACCCCCATTCTGTGCCCCCATACCCTGCCTGAGCAAGTCTACAAGCAGCCCTGGGGATCAGAAAGGTCAGACCTTAAAGCAGTACTAGATTTATTGTGAGAGAAGAAATTAAACCCTCTCACATGCCTGCTCAGCAGGGCTGAAATCTCTCCCCATCCATGGAGCAGGTTTTAAAGAGCCTGTTGTGTGCTGAGAGTCACTCAGCCCACGGAGTCAGGAGCAGCACAAAGTCCTTAAACTTTTATAATTATTTTTTTTAATCACTAAAGTCACAATGTGAAAACTTGTTATGCTTTAACAGAGTCCCATGAATTCTAGTTATGTTTTCTAGCACACCCAGGAGTGCCACAGTACTGCAGCACCAGAGCTCATAGCAACCAGCCTTTCCTTTTACCTCCAGGTGCCCTTGACACTGCTGCCTGACGTCAGACACAGAATATCCTCCATCCTGCTGAGCTGTGGCTCCAGCCTGTCACAGTCAGCAATGTGCTCCTGAAGGAGCATCCCACTGAGTGGTCCTGGTGATTGTTTGGTGTTATTTCCTCTGCTGCCAGGATTTTACATCAGTTGGATGATGAACCTTACGCTGTGCAGTGCTAGAGCAGAACTGTCACCACTGTGCAGGCTCGAGCAGTGCAGCTTAGAGGAGGTTTGTGCTGTGCCCTTGAGTGAGGACACACCTGGAGGAGGAACAAAGCTTCAGGAGCTGTCTGTGCACCGTTTGCCCTGCAGTGTGTACTGCAGCAGCATGGGTGCTGGAGCAGGTGGGAGCTGCTGGGGACACCTGCCAGCAGCACAGCAGCACAGGCTCCTGCTCCCAGGAAAGCAGGAAAAGTGGCTCAGGCAGCAGCACAGGCTCCTGCTCCCAGGAAAGCAGGAAAGTAGCTCAGGCAGCAGCAGGTAGATCAAGTGGTACCCTCTGTTCCTAGTGCTTGGGAGACAGGTAGGGATTGACTTCCCACAGCTGGGAGGAGGAGGGAGAGGGTCGTAATGCACTGGTGGGAGAGGTGACCAGAAACCCTGAGTGAGGTGTAGCAGAGTTGTCAAAATGCTGATGAATTTGCTTTTGCTGAGTCCTTAAGGCAACATCTCGTGTCACTCTTCCCCTGTCAGTCGCTGAGGAATCTCAGCACTTACGTGGCATGTTGTGATTTATCACCACTTGCTCCTTTGGCAGTGGGAAGTGTGTTATCAGCAGGGGAGGGGGAGGCTAGAGAAATTGTGACTAGAAATAAGCTCAGGGATTCTGTATCCCAAGACCTTGTTCCTTCTGATGAATTGCACTGCCCTTGTGTTTCAGATCAGATTAGGTCATTTCAGTTCCATCGGGGGGGTAAAGGATGGGACATGACACATTTGAGCTGGTACTGATGTGGCAGTGAACCGTTGACCTCACCAGGCACCTGCTGCTCTGTGCCAATATTTAGTCTCACAGGATGGTGGGTAGGACTTTCACACATTCTTCAGTGAGTAAAGAGCTCAAAGTCTGTTTACACAGATCCAAGTTTAGCTCAGTTGCTTTGGAAGCCCCATCCACTGGCTTTTCCTAGTGTGCAACTGGAATGTGGGTGCAGTCCAACACCAGCCACCTCTGGAGGCAAACTGGGAGCTAGAGAGGCCAGGCCAGCACCTCTGGGGTTGAGCCTCCCCACACTGCTGCTCTCCTGGCTCTGTTAGGGTGGTGGGTGCTCTGCAGTGCTCTGTGATCACAGCTCCAGGATTCCTTCTGCCATCACTGATGCCAAGAGCTGCTTCTAAAGGACAGCAATGCATTTTGCAGCTCTGCAGAAAAGAATCACACCTAAGACAGAAACCAAGTTTGTTTAAAGGTAAATGCATTTTTAATGTCACCATTAACCATTGGTTTTAATTGGGAAAAGCTTTCTAATGAGCTATTTCTGAAATGCCAGGAGGAGTACCCAACATTTATGTTTCGATGTACTTTAATACACAGAGCACAAATTATTCCCTAGGCCTGACAAGTAGCAGAAGTACCTTATTTTCAGTGAGCTTAATGGACACATTGTCACTGATTCTCTCCTGACTCCCCCAGTATCTGTTTCGTTTGCAAATAAAGACAGATTTATGCAGCTTTCCTTTTGCTTACACTGCTAATGCTAACAACACAGCCAAGTGTTACACACAAAGCACTAAACTATGTAATTTTCTGCCTTAAAATACTGAACAAATGCTACTTTCCCGTGAAGGGCTAGTGAAACAAAGTGATATTTGCAAGGTAAGATGCTATGGTGTTTCCAAATATTTTTGTATTGTGTACATTCTGTATATTTTTGTTGTAACAATATTATTTGAGCACAGAATCCATTAAATTTTTTTTTGGTGGTGCTTTTTTTTCTTTGTTTTCTGTTTCATTTTAATTTTTGTCTTTTTTAAATAGAATTGTTCTGTATCTCATGCCAAAAAGCAACCAAGGTAAAAGTTTCAAGGGCAGTTTTGTAAGTTTGCCTACAGTTAACACAGTACTTAAGAGCAGAGCAATTGGTTTGGAGCTCTGCAATGTAATCTTTTAATACTGACATTGATAACTCATTTTTATGTCTGTCTGAAAGATAAAGGGGAGAAGTGTCACAGGTTATCACTCACCTTCTGTCCCCACAGCACAGAGCACAGTCCCACTGGACTGTCAGTAAGACTGTACAGTTACTGTTTTGGGGAGGGTTGTTCAAACACTGCTGCCAAAGGAACCAACAGGAGCTTTGCAGAAATCATCACTCAGAGACCTGAAGAGTTTTCATTCCAGCAAAGATTCCCTTCAGGGATTCTGCTGCCTACATGGCCTATGATGTGGGTAAGAGTTCATTGCTGAAGTACACTGAAATGTTTAAAAGTCTGAGCAATTAACTTGGGAACTTAATTTACTTCAATTTCTGAAGATGTTTCTGTTAATTTAAAATTACTATTTAATCTGTAAAATGTTCAGGTTTAATTCTTCACCACTGAAAAAATATGATCATTTACAGTTATGCAAAATGGGTACTAAGACATACAAAGAAGGTCTTGGTCTCACTGCAAGCTAAGAAAGAAGGGGATTAATCTGCTGCCTGTCCATGGCTGTGCACACACACTGATCACTGAGGCTGCCCAGGCCTAAGGCAGCTCTGTCTCACACCAGTGATGACTTCTTTATCCACTGACAGCAGAACAAACTGCCAAACTGAAAGGAGAATGCAGAAACCTAGCTACAGACTTGTTAGCTATGTTCTCTCCTATAAACTAATACGATTAACTCATTTATTATGATCTCTCCAGAAGTTTGTGCTTCTTTATTAAAACAAAGTAGCCAGATCTTAATGCTTGCACAGGATCATTTTAGAGAGGTTTAAAACACTGAAATGATTTCTAGGTAAGGGACTTGGGGTTTGGGTTTTTTTTCAATGTAAGGACTGTAAAAAACCAGATGTCATGATTTCCTCAGAACAGGAGCAAGTCAGTTGGAATCTGGTAAGCACTGAAACCTGTGCAGGAGTTTGCATGACCTGATGTTCACACATTAAAAAAAGCTCATACTGCTTCATCTAAAAAGGGGGAAAGCAGATGAAACAGCAACTAAGGTAATATTTTTAAATATAAATTAAAAACCCTGTCATAGCTGCACAGAAGAAATTACTGATTTATACACAATTTTAAGCCACAGATGTCTCTCTCATGAATTCCTCGAGGACAGTCACTACATTTCTGGCTTCTGGCATTTCTGCATGTTCCACTTTCACAATCTTCAGGAGGATGTCTCCACTGCCACAGTTCTTTAGGAACAGGTAACACTTGAACAAGGCATAGTGGTTCATTTCAGCCTGGCGGATAAACCTCTTCAGGTTGTTAATGTCCTGTATAGCCTGAGGAAAGAGGAACAGCACTTCCTTATCCTTCTGCATGGCAAGAAACACTGTCATGTGGGAAAGTAAAAGAACAGCAGGAGAAGCAAAATCATTTTGTATTACTGCTCAAGAGTAATGTAAGAACTGAGCACTGTCCTTGATGCTTATTACCTGTTACTGGAACGATGCAAAATGTGTGGACACAACTTGATGTAGTGTTAACTACTGAACCATATTATCAATTACCTGATACTGTGTGTGCACAGTTCAAATTAACAGTATTTTATGGGAGGAAAAAAATTGGGTTTTATTTTAAGCATAAGAAAACATCTTTGGAGCATTCACTGAGGAAACCTTCATACTACTTTACAGCTGGTCTTGTCAACTGCTCAGATTAAGCTTCAGAGTTAATCAGTTAATGACATATAAACATGGTAAATAACCTAAAACTTTGCTGCAAAAGGAGTATTTGCTCCCTCAGTAACCCTAATATCTGCTTCAGGTCTTTAACACGTCTGAACATTTACCTTCAGTTTAAAGTTTTCCAAGATCTGCCGGGAGAGGAATGGGTTCCCAGCCTCAGCACCGTTCCCAAAGGCCTGCATCCAGTCCTCACAGAACCTGTTGCTTCCTGTTACGTGTCAGGAATGTGGAGGAGAGATGACAAAAAGAAAATAAGCTCAATGTAATTACACAGCTGCATTCACCTGGTTTAATCATTCTCAAGTAGCAACTAATAGTTTTGTACCTGGGCCAGGAAATATGTCTTAAGAAGAAACAATACACGTGGAAAAGAAAGGCAAACAAAGCTGCAGTGATTACATGAAACTCTGACTGGTGAATCCCTTTTGAGAACAGGAAAAAAATCAGTTTTGCAGCTTCCCTGAGTTGTACAAGTCATATTTTCATGGTCCACAAACTACTTAGTTTTTCGGATTTTATTATCAACCATTTTCAACCCAGAGTTCCAGTGTGTCTGCTAGAACAAACTGCTCTGCTGCCTCATAGGGAAGCAGGTGCTCCAGTTTCCAGCCAGAATCCAAACTTTCTGGGCATATGAGTCTATGAGTTTCTGAACATCCTCAAATACCTCTAACATCCACAGCTCTCAGCAGCTGAGGGATCCGAGTGAGTAGCATGAAATATTCCCAGCTGTAATCTCACCTGCATTATGCAGCTGAGGCTGAGGTCCACTGCAGTCTATAACCATAGACTTGTGCTGCTCCTCTGTCATGGCAATGCACAAGGAGGTCATTGTGCCTTCCTGGACAAGTCCTTGGAGACTGGCAGCTGCCAGAAACCTGACACAGAGAGCTCTGGTGAACTGCTTGTTTCTTTACATCTCCTGGACAGCAAGGAGGAGGCTGTCACACACCACAGCCACGTTACCCATGGCTCCCTGGGCCTCAAATCTTTACCTGCTGATGTCCTTTTCTGTTCTTTCATCTGCATTTTTCACTTCTACAGGAGTGTAGCTCAGAGCCTTAAACAAAAAAGAGAAAAGCTGGATGCAACTTTCACTTCTGTTGCTGTATTGCAGTTGTGAGCAATAAATATGTGATGTGGTACTTTAAAACCTGTTCTTTGCAGAGAAAGAGCAGAAGCTAAGGCAGTATCCTTGTTACACTCATTGCAGCTGGTTTTGTGCTCAGAAGAGATACAGCAGTTATGATCTATTAGCTATTCTATCCAAAGTCTCCTCAAACTCAGGGACTAGAGATAGGATGAGTTTCTTTTCTGTTTCTAGTGAATTACCCAAGGCACATGTGCAATATAACACCCTCTTTGTTCAGGGGAATTCTAGCAGGGACAGATTGCTCATGCTCTTTCTGATGTTCTCATTCCAATTTCAACCTGGACACTACTAGGTAATTTTAAATGAGTTAACTATTAAAACTGATAGAAGAAATTGTTATGTGCTTCCTTAGCAATAAGGCAGGGAAAAAGTACTTGATCTGAATTTAAAAAGAGAAAAAAAAAGAAAGGGAAAAAGGAAGAAAATGTTGGTCTTCATTTCCTCCTGTCTGGGAAAGCAAATACAAGAAACATTTTAAGCATGTTCTTAAGGTCACTGAGATTCCTTCTGATGGTCTTTTAGTCACCCAGTTTTAAGTGCACTTACAGCATGTAAGAGAGAGGCAAGTTTGTCCTGGAAGAGCTGCACAACCCTCTGGACAGGGCAGATGGCATTCTCAAACCAGCTCCTCAGGTAGGGGCCAACACAGGACTCCAAGTTTTTTTGCTGTAAGAAGTGGAAACATTAAAACTTTAACTACGAATCGGATTTCTACACAAATAGAAGCCTATGAAAAAATCTCCTCAACCTAAGATATTTGGATGTCAGAGCCTTCTTAATCTCAAACCACAGCGAACTGAAACAATGAGGTTACATTTAAAGCCACATTCTATCACCAACGAAAGGCTTTGTGTTTTGAGGAACAGCCAGAAGTGTAACATTTCTGGGATAGACTGAGCACAGACCAAGCAACTGCAGAAGGGGTAACAGAGGCTTAAAATACAGAGCTTCCACTAGAAACATGTGACAAGAAACCCACAAAAAGTCCTTCCTGAGCATCCAGAAGTGATAAGAACAGAGCTGGAGATCAGTAACTTCCCTGCAGACGTTACCTTTTATTAGTCACTCTTCTCTCCAAATCTAACTGTAAGTAACCTTTCAGAGATTTATGACTGGCACAAAAAAGTCCTCCCCCTTTTTATTCCCTTAACTTTCGTGGCTGATAGCACTCGAGACATTCATTGCCACTACACTGAATCAAGCATCTCTCACAGGGCTACATACTTACACTTAAAACACCTATTTTGTCTCTACAGACTAAATTTTCCAGACTGTCTTAGCAACTAATTTGCAGAAATACTAATTTTTTCCACTTAGAAAAAAAATGAAGTTAGGCTTTACCTCCAAATCAAGGCTTGTCTTCAGACTTTGAATGTATTTGTCCAGCTCAAGTCTGAAAGTATCATCTTAAGGAAAATAAGATGCATGACTCAAGACCTGCATTTTTCCCTTTCAGTTATGGCTGTTGCTGACATTTTCAGTTACTGGAAGGTGTGCACAAATGAGCTGATTTCAAGCAGAGACAGATAAAATGGCAAGAAAATCTTTACATCATCTCCCTCCCCACACAGGTAAAGAAGGTTTAAAGGTAAGGATATAGTTCCAGGCCTTTCTCTGAGCCACCTAAGAAACAAACCACATATTCTGGAGCATTGATGTCTGATTCCAATGTTGCCATTTCTAGAAGATTTTCTTGTTGGAAACGACAGTAATAACAACCAACTTTACATTCTGGTATGCTGAGGGGGGAAAAAAAAGCAGATGTACATGATTTCTGAATGAATTTCACCAGCCAGCACTGGTGGCTCCTATGGTTACATGCAGAGCTCTTAGACCTGCTTTCTCCCACTGTGATCAGTTTCAAAGGAAATAACCATGAACACATGCAGGATTTTTAAAATATCCAAACAGTAAATTATTTACTAGGGTATTTTTCTCAAAGCTGCCTAGAAAAATGAAAGTGCCATTGTGCCAGGCTGTTCTTGGCAGCAGCATTAGGCTGAGAGCATGGAATCCAGGCTAGACTAAGTGCAGCAGCAGACAGGCAAGCTGTGCTGTGCTGCCAGTGTTCCTTACAGCTCCTCACCCACAATCTCAGCAACTCACCTCAGCCCCACGGATGCAACATTGCCCATCCCTTCAAACAGGGCCCCTTTGGTCAGGCGTTTGGCGATGAAACCACGCAGCTCTGGCTCTGCTTCAGCTGGTAGGTTCGTGTCCAGCAAGGAGAGGCTTTAGAAAATAAGAAGGCATTGTCAGCAAAAAGCAAATGCGATGGTTTTGTTTCTCTCAAGTGCAGAGCCCCTGTCCTAGCAGGAGGATTCCTGCACCGTCCCTGGCTGACAGCTCTGTGACTCTGGGCCCAGCAGGAGCAGACAGCAGAGTCTGGGTTGTGGTGTCAGCTGGTGCAGCAGCTATGGACAGCTCACTGCCCTCTTTGTTTCTGTTTCCCTAGCTGTGATACAGAGCTTAAGGAAAGATGCCCATTTAAAATCAGCACATTCTTGTAATCTGTTACCTACATGAAGACCTGTGACAGGTCTTCCTGTGACAGCACTACAGAAACGCCAAGTGTTGGTAGCAAAGAGAACAGAGTTCAAAGTCCAAGATGACAGTCTAATACATTACTTGAGCTCTGAGTCCATTGCCCAGTATTTCAGGGCAGTAAGGTGCAGTGTTGTGGAGGCCCAGCAGCCCCGCAGGGGTTTCAGCCCCGCGGCCTGGTCTCCCCGCAGCGCTCGGCGGGGCCTGAGCGCAC